TGTAATCATCACTAAAAGATTGTAACTGTGCAATTTTTAATAACATGATTTCCGCTTCGTCTAATTCAGTAATACTCAATTCCCCTAGTCGTTTTATCTTGGAATTTTTAATATTAAAAATAAACCGATTAACATAAGCAGTTATACGTTTCAACTTGTTTAAACTTGAAATTTTAGAAAAAAGATCGAAGTCTTGAAATACTGATAGTGTTACCGTAACACGCCGTTCCGGAATAGTCGAGTTATCTAGCGATACCGTATCAGAAGGCCATTCTGATATATCATTTTCAAGCCAAGAAGGCCCCTTCCACCATAATGTGTTTGTCAATAAGTTAGCAGCAGATGTACCACGAGAAATATAGTCAGCTGGATTGTCCTTAGAGACGACATGATGCCAGTCTTGACAATCTGTCAACGTTTGTATGACACTAACCCTATTCGCAATGAAAGTTTTCCACTTGTCAGGACTTCCATTTATCCAATGATATGTAATTAATGAATCTGTCCAGAAAAAACATTTTTCAAAAGTTAATTTCAATGAACGTTTTACGCGGTTATATAATTTTGCACCTAAAACCGCTGCGCATAATTCCAATCGCGGTAGTGTGATTTGTTTTATTGGAGCAACCTTGCTTTTTGCACAAAGCAAATTACAAAAATAATTGTCAACTGCATGACTTCTGATATAAGCAGCTGCACCATATCCTTTTTCGGATGCATCTACAAATATATGAAGTTCAAACCGATATGCAGAAGGATTTAAAACATGTCGATTTATTTTAATATGTCGTAAAACCTTTAAATCGTTCAAAAAATCTATCCATAATTTTGAAAGCGAATGTGATACAGGTTGATCCCACGAAACCTTTTCGCGCCACAATAGTTGTAAAATTATTTTTGCTGTCATTATGACAGGACCAAGAATACCTAGAGGATCATAAATACATCCAATCATTGACAAAATAACTCGTTTCGTCATAACTTGATCATAGTTAAAATCTCTTATACAATATTGAATCGTATCAGAATTTGCGTCCCATTGGATGCCTAGTGTTTTACATGACTCATTCTCTCCAAGTCGAAGTATGTTACTTTCTAAGTTAGGATTAATTGTAAATTTCTCACAGATGTCTGGTCTATTTGATAACCATTTCCTGAGTTCAAACCCTGCCGTAGCCAATATAATAGTAATATCCCTTTGTAATTGTAAAATCTCCGTTTCTGAGTTAGAACCTACTAATAGGTCGTCAACATAAAAACTATCCTTGATGGCGTCACATGCCAAAGGGTATTTATCCTTATAAATAATTGCCAATTCAAGTAAACATCTTGTAGCTAAAAAAGGTGAGGCAGCAACCCCATACGTTACAGTTAGTAGTTCAAAGCAGTTCAACTCGTCACATGTCTCAGAACGCCAAAATATTCTATGAAAACGCGTATGATCGGGACTTAAAAGAATCTGTCGGTACATCTTCGTTACATCCGCATTTATCACAAAAGAATATTGCCGAAATCTTAAAAGAATATCAAAAAGTTCGCTTTGTACTGTCGGGCCAGCTTTATGCATATCATTCAGTGATACGCCACTGTCTTTCTTCGCGGACGCGTCAAAAACTACGCGAAGTTTCGTTGTCAAACTGGATTCTTTTAGTACAGCATGGTGTGGTATATAATATGCCCCACTGTCACTAAGGTTTTCTATATTATCTGAGAGTTTTCTCATATGGCCTAGACTTTCATATTCTGACATAAATCGTGAATATTGTTCTTTAAGATCTGTATTTTTTCCTAATTTTTTCTCTAATAAATAAAATCTTCGAAGCGCCACGTCTTTCGAATCACATAACCGATCTTCAGCCTTGTCAAAAGGTATTTTTACCACAAAACGTCCGGTAGTAAAATCTCTCTCAGTATTTTTTACAAAATGTTGTTCGCAAAAATTATCAATTTTCGGAATGTCTTCACACTCTTCTATACGCCAAAATTTCTCGAGACTTTCAGCCGCTGTGTCAATACAATGGCACGAAACTGTTTTTAGTGATTTATTGCCAATTGAATAATTTAATTCACCGCCTAATACCCATCCTAACAGAGTATTCTGCATAACTAAGCCATTTTGTAGTTTTAATTGGTTTGGTAATAATAAGTCATAGAAAAGGCCTACTCCTAATAAAATGTCAATGTCTGACTTTTCATTAAAATTAGGATCTGCCAATGCAACTCCCGTAGGTATTTTTAAATCTTTAGCCTCAAAAGAACAACTAGGCATTGGTTGTGTAATTTTTGGTAACGTCAAAAAAGAAGACTCTTTGGAATATTTACAGATACGTGAACTAACTGTAAAAGTTATTTTATAATTAGCTAATAATGAGTCATTATTTCCAACGCCAGATATTGAATAATTAACACGTGTCTTATTAAAACCTAATTTATTCGCGAAAGCTTCGGTCACAAAATTGCTTTGAGAGCCCGGGTCTAATAGTATTCTAGCCGATAATAAATTTTCCTTTTTATCCATAACATTTACAACTGCTGTGGATAATAAACAGTATGTCATTTTCGACTTATTATTGCAGTTTCCGCCGCCAGCCGTAAGCGCGTTTACTGTCGAATAGTCATTTTTTGTTGATATGCCGGTCTCGCATACCTCGACGTCGTCGTCTTGCGCGAGCGTAACATGTGAAGTCGGATTGGCAACCGTTTGCCTGTCAGTTCTCCCAAACTCTGAATCTCTGTGTAAAAGCGTATTATGTTTCTTATTACACACTCTACAGGGCGATTTTCCACAGTCTTGCACTGCGTGATTAGGATTAAGGCAATTTAAACAGAGTTTACGTTTCCTAACTTCCTGGTCACGTTCACTAACGTTTAATTTAACAAATGATTCGCATTTAAAAATAGAATGATCCTTTTTACAAAAATAACACGAAAACTTTGAATTTTGACTACTGGTTAAAGATTGATAAGTGTTATTAAAATGTGGTTTTACATTAGTCTTTGTCTGAAATTTAACATTTAATTCAGATTTATTTGTCATATTGTTTGTTTTAGAACGATCAAGTTTTTCAAGCATTTCACATTTTTCCTTAAGAAATAATTTAATTTCATCAAATGTAGGTAAGTCTCCGGTAATCTTAAAACATTCCCAGTCTCTTCTCGTCCTATTGTCAAATTTAGATACCAATAAATGTACTATAATAATGTCCCACTTTTCCGTAGGCTGCCCTAAATTTTTTAGAACTCTCAAATTCTTACTAAAAACATCAAACATGTTACGAAGTTGAACACTATTTTCTTTCGTCAACACAGGGAAATCAAACAATGTTTGAAGGTAATTAAAAACAATCAGTCGTTTATTTTCATACCGTTCTGTCAATGTTAACCAAGCCACAGAATAATTTTCAGCGGTAACTGAAATAGATTCAATCAGCTGAGCTGCTTCTCCCTCGAGACATGACTTTAAATAGTAAAACTTTTGAATCTCATCCAAGGATGCATTGTTTTCAACTAAAGATATAAAAACATCTCGAAATTCGAGCCACTTGTCTAAAACACCTGAAAAACTAGGTAGTTTCAAAATAGGCAATTTTGCACTCATAGAAAATGGAGATGAATGTCCATTGTTACTATTAGCTATAACCGAGTCTGTAACATTCGTCGTTAAAGAATTTAATTTACTTTTTTCAAACTTAGTAATTATACCCGATATCTTTGTTACTAAATCAAAATAACTAGCTTCAAAATTTTCTCTTTCTACTATTTCCTTGTCTTTTTCTGTATCAGAAGCTTCATCTATATCTAATTTATACTCTATTTCTGATTGTAAATTAGAAAACTCGTCGAAAACTGGTTCTAGTCTTTGCAATCTTAATTTCAATTTAACAATAGTATCTTCGTCGAGACTATGTAAATTTAATGATTCAAAAAAAGTCTGCAACCGTGTCAAACTACCTTTAGTCTGACCTCTTTTAAATTTCAGTTGCCGTAACTCAGTCATTTTTTTTTATTTATTTATCACGTCGGATAATAGCAATTTTAAATTCAAGTACAATGTAAAGAAGAAATTGGAATGGACTCACGGAATGCAGTCTGCTCCTAGGGTTTCTGATACTTGTCACCTGTGGATTCGCTGTGCTGGAGCTCGTCGTCAACCAACCACACGTTCCCCACGTGCCTAGTCTTTTTTCTGCGAGGCTTGCCGAATAAAAAACACTTGACTTGTACTTCACAAACACTAATTCATGCGGGTCGATGAACCAATATGATGTGCTCAGGATAGTGGACTGTATTAACTATAGTCTTTTAACAAATATAATGCTTTACTGTGGAAATTACACCAATTTGTTTACAGGCATACGTACTAGACAAAGCGTCGCCATTAATCATCTCGTCTAATCTGCCCACACTCGTGGCGTGTCGCCTTGTACGCCGGTGCGGCAAAACACGGTTTCTCTGATTGCCGATAGATGGCGGACATAGTACTAAATATAACTTTACATGAAAAATAAGTAAGAGTACAAAACAATTTATTTGACTAAAAAAAGAAAATAATTTTACGATTCACATTCAGGGAAATACATACTATTACCCCTGAAAAACTGACCCCCACTTAATGTTACACCCTGTATAGATAGTATAAATATAATTACTACAAAAACACATATCTGATATTGAAATTGTTAAATAATGAAATCACATAGTTGCTTTTCGCAATATCAACAGTAAGGAATCTTGTCTGTGGGGTTAGAAATCTTTTGCATATCTAGATTACTCGTAGAACATTGTTTGACTTCATTTCACAAGATGCTTTAGAAAAAAATTAAAATAGCTTAATACCATTATAATAAAGTAAAAATACGAGAGATATAGTAGAACATATGAGTAAAAATAAACAAAATTTCAAATTACGAGTATAAGAAAAAAATTACTGATTAACTAATTAATTGTTGAAGGAAATTACCCCAATGCAAAGATATTTAAATAAATACAAATTATCTTACCAAACTGGCTTCGTATCCCGGGACTGGTATGGCACTTTGAAGCAACCGCTGCTGTGGACCCTGCGGCGACAGCTTCGGCCTCTGTCCCAGCATAACATTGCCCATAGAAACGTCTACCTTCGGAGGTTCCATGACTCCTTTGGCACCCGGCGAAGGTCCTTGGATAATTCTTGACGGATTGCTTAGGGGAGACTGAGACTTGCCCAGTGGAGGGCTAGGCACAGCTCCGCTAAGCAACTGCTGTTGGTGTAGTGAATGGGCCGGCTTAGAGATAGGACCTTTACCCATAATGACTTGTTGTTTCATAACGGACTGGTGCTTCATGTGCGCCATCTGGGTGTTCACCATTTGGGCCTGACTGGTAGTCATTGGCGTCACCATGTGGCCTTTATTTAGCTGTGCTTTGCTCACTTGTAACATCTGTTGCTTCTGTTGTGCCGATAGTGATAATACTGGTGACAGTACTGGTGGTTTGACCAGTTGTTTAGGAACCGCTTTGGAAGTAGTTAAAGGCACGTTTGGTCTCGGCGATAAGTGAGCCGATGAAACGACTCCCATCGGTAAAGAAGTATTAACGTTGAGATGTTGGTTTATGGGGGTCACGGGCTTTGAAATAACCACCGGTGTGCTAGATTTTGAAATAACTATCGGAGTTACAGCCTTGGTAACGACCACTGGAGTGACAGTTTTAGTTACCAATACTGGAGGAACATTTTTAGAGACTATGACTGGAGATGACTTAGAAACATTCACCTGAGAAGTTGTTTTGTTTACTACAATCGGCTGGGGCGGTAAAGTAGGATGTACAGATGAAGGTTTCGTTTGAATCGGGCTTGGTTGTTGACTAACCGCCGCTTGAGCGGCTTGCGAAGACAACACGTGAGCTTTGAAACTTTGGGGCTTTGGTGACTGCACCATTGTAGCCTGTTGAGGCTGGGCTATAACGGTAGGTTGGGATTTAATGACTTCAGCTGGTTTCGCTTGAGGCTGACCTACTTTTGCATTTGCTGCAATTCTCTGCTCGGCAGTTGCACTATCGGGCAGGGGAATATATTTTCCTTCCTCGCACTCCCTCATCGGTATAAGTTCTCCAGTCACTGGATCGATTAAGTTAGTTGGTTCGTGTTGATTCGTACTGGCCATTTCCACTTTGATGCGACGCAACATGGCTGCCTTCAAACTCTCATGTGGTTTCTCCTTGAGCGTGTCCAGCTGTTTTTGAGTTTCTTTTTCTTCTTCTTTCGCCTTTTCAGGTTCCTTAGCAGGAGAAGGTATAGACTTGGATTCTTCTTTGAAGGTTTCTTCAGAGGACGAATTTTCTGTAGCTTCAGATCCTCTACGAGGTTTTCGTCCTCTAGGAGATTTTCTTGGGGTCTCAGGCTGCGGTAATGGTTGTTGCTGTTGTTTAGGAACCGCCTGACGTGTGGATCTTCTTTGATTAGCTGCGGCACGTGTCTGGATGGTATTTTTCACAACATCTTCAATCGTATCATCCACAGTATTACGTGAGTTATCTTTTTCTTGAAGACGTCGTGACTTTCTGGTGTTGGTTGCCACTGGTGAAGCAAACTCTTCTTTAGTTTCTACAGTCGGATGGGAAGGAATTTCCTTAGGTTGTTCTTTACCAATTTCTTTAGCGCCATCTTTAGTAACTTCTTTCACAATCGCAGTTGTTTGGGCGTTGCTGGCACTGGACACAGCTGGAGATTTGATTGTCAAAATCAACCGAGGGCGCTGTTCCTTGTTGTCATCAGACTCGTCCCGAAATTCATAGACATCTGCCGGGGCAGAATCCGTTTCAGATTTACTTGTTTTTCGTTCAGTTCGCGGTCTTCCACCACGACCTCTTTTAGTCGGAGACAAAGTTGATACTGGTTGTTCTTTATTAATTTTACCACGACGAGTCTGAATCCCACTACGGTCAACGTTAGCACCTCTAGCTTTACCGCGACCTCTTCCTCTACCACCACGACCACGATTACCGCTACGGAGATTTACCACCCCCTTTTGTTCTTCTTCCGGTTCAACTCCTTCATCATGGATTTCAGGTTCGTCGTTCTTATTTTCAACCGGCTCAATTGGTTTACTTTCAGGTGTAGACTGTTCTTTGTCGCCAATGACAGTTTTCGAACATTCATTGGTTTTGTTGTCGTCAAACCAGTCATCCTTGCCATTTTCACTGCTATGATCTGAGAGTTCATCAGCTGAACATAGCGTCTTGATAACCGAGTCAATGTTTACTTCCTTTGCTGACCAATAATCGCTATCCTCTTTCGTATCAAGTGGATCTTCTTTAGTCAGAATGTCTGCGCTAGATCTTTCTTTGCTGATATCAGAAACGATACTTTCTGTGTCGGCTTTCTCCTCGTCAAACTTTTCGATTTCTTTAATAACAGTCGTGGTATTATCTGGTTCGACTGTAGGTTTCTCCACTGCTACATCTTTTTTACATTCATCTTTGATCTCTAGTTTAACTTCCTTCGGTTTTTCTATGGGTTCTGATGCGTCCGTAGTTGGAACTTCTGTTTTGATTTCCTTTTCTTTAAGTTCCGGAGATTCCTTTTCTAAAGACATGTTTAATTCTTCAGTCACCTTTTCAATAGCCAGCTTAACTGGTGCTTCTGTATTAGGCTCCGTCTTAATCTCCTTAACTTCTGGATGAGCTGGTTCACTTGGTGCTGATTCAGTAACTGGATTAGATATAGGTGGAACAGTAGAAGCTTTCTGTATGACATTTGGATGTATGTTGTTTAATTTTTTGTCTAAATTATTTTCAATAACTTCTGGAGTTTTTGGAGTTTCGGGAGCAATAGTATTTGACAATTTAGATGAATCAGTAGATGAAGAAACCGAAGTTACTACAGCCGTAGACGCACTAGGACTCGAAGTAGATATAACAGGTTTTGGACTTGTCGCAGGCATTGGAGATGACCTTGGATTTGGCGACGACGGCATAAACGACTTCGGACTAGGAGTACTTGTTATGACTTTTGGACTTAATATTGTTGGAGAAGGTTTCATTGTGTGGTCCTTAGAAATTGCTAGAGGTTGTGGTTGAGACACATGAGGTTGGATATTAGAAGTAGGCATAATAATACTAGGCTGTGGTAGTGTACTCTGACTACTCACTAAACTCGAGGGCATCGGTTGGCCAATTTTTAGAGGTTCGTTTTGGTTCTTTTCGCTCAACCCTGCGGCGTGCATATATGGCGAGTGAGCCAAGTTACCCAAATAACCGTACGTGTTTTGAGGCAGTTGTCTCGTAGGAAGCAGCAGACCTTGTGGCGGTAACTGCCGAATATTTCCTTGAATCAACATCCTCGGCTGGTTTTGTGCGAAATTGGGAAACTGCGCCTGTTGAATAGCAGACGTTTGAAAAACAGTTCTAGGTCTTTCTTGTGTTCTGGGGTCAGAAGTAGAAACCAGTTTCGGTGGTTCCAAAGTGTGAGCCACCTTGGCCTGCTGCAGAATTACGGTTGTAGCTGGCAGCGGTTTGGATACCATCACGGGTGTTATTGGAAGTCTGTTATGAACAAGATTAGGAGTAGATTTCGGAGACAACATTCCAGGATCGTGTGTGGAAGTTGGTGGTTTGTTAACCTGCACTGGAGAACGAGCTGGTAAATTGTGCAATTGAGACGTAACTAAAGATTTCGTGGGTGTTTGTAAGACGGGTGCATGTTGGATTTTTGTTGGTTGTTCTGAGAGGGGAGAAAGTTTTATATGATCCGGTGGCTGTGTAATTGGTTTCAATGCAGGATAAGGAGCGGATTCAGATATCTTCACCATTGGAGGGGTTGGATACTGCCTTAATGGCTGAGGTGTGATACTTTTGTTTAGTTTTTGTTGAGATAAAACATTCTCAATTTTAATAACTGTCGTAGGCTCAGGTTTTGAGAGTTCTGGTTGTTTTTCTATTGGCCACGTTTGTGAAATTACAGATCGTTGTTGTTGTTCTGGTAACATTGGGAGGGACTTTTGTTCCAAATCTAGCGATTTCCTGATTTCTACAGCTGCAGAAACTTGTGGTTTTATTGGAGTCAAAGATGGTGGGCTGCTGATATTTGGTGTATTCTTCAAAACAATTTGAGTAGAAGGGGTTTTGTCCTCGTTTCGAATGTACTTTGCAATATCCGTTGTTTTTGGCGGTTGAGAGAAGTCGGGTAAATCTGGCGTTTTAGGTTCAAACCTTGACGAAACTTCTTCTTGTTCTTCTGTATCTGTATCAATTTGTAACTCATGCTCGCTTTGTGGTGTATCAGGCTTAACATCTAAATCAGCAGTGCTAAGGCTTTCAACGGCCTGTCGCATTTCTTCGTCATCTTGGGCATTATTCTCTTCAACGAGCGAGGTTGTTTGATCAGTGGTGCTGTTAATTTCATCGTTGTAACATTCCTCAAACTTTCCATTTTCAAAACTTTCACCGAGCAATGCTGCCACTGCATCTTCGGTTTCTTCTTGTGAAATGACAACTCGAGGTTTTTCTTCGGATATTTGGGAATCTTTGTCATCTTTATTTTCCTCTTCTTTGACAACTTCTTCTTTTTTGATGACTGGTTCAAATTCAGAAATAGATTTCACAGCAGATTCGTGTATTTTTTCATCAATCTCTACTCCGAACCCTGGTATGAATTTATCTCGTTTCTTTTCTTTTGAAATTGTTGGTGTTTTCGGAATAGGGCTAATAACTGGATGAATTTCTCGAGTCGAAGGAGAAACGGTAAAGTCTGGGGTAAGAGCCTTATTAGAAGGACTAGTACTCTCATCAAGAAGAGTGGGTAAACTTTGATTTTGACTTTGTGGTTGTGATTCTTCTACTTCCACTTTAATGTCTTGAGGCGGTGTTACCTCTTTCTTAAATTCGGGAGATTTAATTTTATTTTTTTCATGGTGGTGATGATGGTGGTGGTGTTTCGTTTTCTCGTCTTTACTCTTTTTCCTCTTCTTTTTCTTTTCTTTTCCTTCTTTGCGTTCTTCTTTCTCTCTCTTTATTTCATGTTTTTCACTGACTTCATTGAAATGAAAAGGGTCCTCAGGATTATCCGGATTAGCAGAGTTTACTTCGCTTTTGGTGATTTCTTCTGAAGCGTCTAAACTTTCATCTTTTAGCATGTTTGCTTCCAACTGCTTACCCATATCAGCATAATCCATACTGTTTTCGTTACTTGTTTGTTCGATAGCGGCTGCAGCAGCAGCGGCAGCTGCTGCGGCTGCCTCTTGGAGACGGCGTTCCTTTTCACGGCGTTTCTTTTCTTTACGTTTCTTATGCTCCTCTCTTTCACGTTCTCTTTCCTCTTTTTCTTTAGTCTTCTCCTTCTCTAGCTCTCTTTCAGATTCACTATTGTAGACGTTCGCGTTCTCTTCCTCGGTAACTCGTTCATGAAATACACTAGATTTTTGTTGTTCAACTTCTTTAGTACCATGTTCAGAATCTTCTGAAAGAGATCCAAAGATGTTTTCCATTTTGCCTTCTCTTTTACTTTCACTTTTTGACTCGGATTTGTTCCTTTTGGATTTTTTAGATTTTTCACGACCTTCTTTTGTTTTGTCTCTTCTCTTGTCTTTCTTACTATGATCTTTCTTTTTTTCGTGTTTAGATCGTTCTGAAGTTTCTCCTTGTATTGAATCATTTTCGACTTTGCACGAGTCTTCGCTGCTAAGGGAATGCTTTTGTTTCTTCTGCTTCTTTTTATGTTTCTTTTCCCTCCTTTCTGACCTCTCCTTTTTAGTGGTCTCTGTAATTTCATCATCTGTAGTATTTTCCATGAATGAATGTCTATTACTGAATTTTTCAATTTTCTCATTTAATGTTGATGTTGAATCACCAAAAATCTGTGTGCTTATTTCCAAGGACGAATCCTGATGTTTGCTGTTTCTTCTTTCTTTCTTAATTAACCTTTCTAATTCATCTTTGACTTTTGTTAATTGTGGTTTTTCTTCTGTCTCAAGAAAACCTTGAATATTTGCGTTTTCAGTATCTGAGAACACTTCGGTTTTGATATGACTTTGGAGCTTTCTCTTGTTGTACTCATCCTCGGAAGTATCGCTAGTAATTCGGGATTTGCAGCCTCTTAAGATGTTCTTATTTTTAATCTCATCTTCACTGGTGTCAAGTTGTTCACGTTTAATCTGTTTCATAATCGCAGAAGAGTCCGAATCGGAATATATTTCTTTCTTTTTCCTAATTTTTCTATCACGGCTCTCGTCATCTGAACTGTCGATGAGCATTTTTGGACAACGTTTGACTTTCACTTCATTGGGGTCTTTATCTTCAGATTCAGAGTCTTCGTCCCAGGAAGTGGACCGTTTCTTTTCTTCCCTTTTTGCACGACTTTGTTTTAACTGACTAAATTTAGCTTTTATCTTTTCTTGCCGCTTTTCTTCCTCTTGTTTGGCCATGTTTTTACAGCTCCTGGCTTTAACTTTGTCGTACATAGAAATATAAGCAGGTTCATCGTCAACGATGTCAAATATCGAGTGCTTTTTTGGTTCATCAGAGTCACTCTCGGAACTGTTGGTTATTTTTCTAATACGGTCACGTTTCTTTCTTTCCTCGTTACTTTTTGAAATTGTTTCGATATCAGAACGAATTTTTGAATGTTTTTCTGCATTGTGATGTTTTTCAAACAGCTTTTCTTGTTTTTTTGACCTGTCCTCATGAGACGATCGATCTTTGTCCTCATGGGCACTAAATGTAGATACCTCCTTGCGTTTTTCTTTACTTTCTTTGTTTTCCTTGACATCTGTGCGTTTATCTGATTCTTCATTTGACTTTAAATCTAGTCTTGCCAAAAAATCTTTATCTGTGAGAGGGCTTTTTGGTGTAGTAGGTGATTCCCGGGATTCTTTTTCTCGACTTTTACTTTTTGATTTTTGTTTTTCCAATTTATGCTTCTTATGACGCTCCTCTCTTTCTTTGTCTCTTTCTTTCCGTTTTTCATCCACGTCTTTCGTTCCATGTTTGTCATGAGGTTTAATTATATTATTTTTATGTTTACTGCTTTTTCCTCTGTCTTCTGATCTAGTACTGTCCTTGGAATCCCGTCTTTCGGACAGTTTTTTATGATCGTGGACTAATTTTATTCTCTTGCTCTCGTCGATGCTATCCAAACTGTCGTGAGAACTCAGTCTTCGTTTGGAACCAATACTAGCAGGCAAACTATTGTTTCTCTCCTTTCTCTTATTTGGATCTTGTTTGATGTTGTCGTAAGTTCTGTTTTTATCCAAGTCTATGGACATGTGACGGCTTTCAACAACATTGCGGTTATTGACGTCTTTTAAGTCATTGAAACTTTTATGTTTATCGTGTATGTTGTTATCACGATTTTCTTTTATGCTCTCTTTCCTTCTCTCAGCATCTCTCTCTATGTGGTGTCTAGATTTTTCATTACTACTGCGTGAGTCGTGCGAGTCACGCCTAAATAGGTCATGATTATCCCTAGAACATTTTTCGTCTCTACTAGATTCTTTGGTGTTTTTGCTGTCGTATATGTGTTTTTCTAAACTGTTTTCTCTGTGTTTAAGCTCACTGTGATTTTCTCGATTTTTATGGTCGTCTTTCCTTTTATCATGATTGTCTTCTTTATGCCGTGACCGTTCTTCTTCCCTCTTCCGGTCTCTTTCGAGTTTGTCCTTTTCAGCACGTTCTCTTTCCAACCTCTCTCGCGCCAGTTTTTCTTCTTGCTCTCGCAATTCTTTCTCCTCCCGATCTTTTCTCTCTCGTTCCTCCCTTTCTTTCCTCTCCCAATCTTCTCTTTGCCTTCTCTCCATCTCCTCACGCTCCCTTTTCTCCCTTTCCTCTTTTTCTTTCCTCTCACGTTCTTTCTTTTCTTTCTCCAGCATTTCTAATCGTTCCCTTTCTTGTTGTTCTTCTCGTTCTCGCCTCTCTCTTTCTTCTTTTTCTTTTCGTTCGCGTTCTTCTCGTTCTTTTCTTTCACGGGCTTTTCTTTCTTTCTCTAATCTTTCATGTTCTTGCTGCCTCTCTTTTTCGATTCGTTCACGCTCTAGACGTTCTTTGTCTGCACGCTCCCTTTCTTGACGTAGTCTCTCAGCTCGCTCCCTTTCCTTTTCTGCCTTTTCTTTCTCTAAGCGTTCTTTCTCTTGCTTTTCTTTTTCTATTCGTTCTTTTTCTAGCCTTTCTTTTTCTAATCGTTGTTTTTCTAATTCACTCTCCCTCTCCAACCTTTCCTTTTCTAGTTTTTCTTTTTCGATGCGTTCCCTCTCCTGTTTTTCTTTCTCCATTCTCTCCTTTTCGATTCTCTCTTTCTCAAGCTTTTCTCTCTCTAACTTCTCGTTTTCAAGCCTAGCTTTCTCAAGACGGTCCTTTTTCTCTTCGTCGTTATTCATTCTCTCTTTATGACTACTATCTGAATCGGTGAATTTCTCGCTATCCTCTATTCTTCGGGCACTAGTATCACTGTTTCTTCTAGTTTTAACGTCTGCGCGAGGCGAATTACTATTAGAATCCCTCCGACACAATACCTTTTCACTAGTTTTATCACTAGATTTAACCTCCCGCACGGATTTGTTATGTTTCTCCGATGATAAACTAGCACTAGATGTCGCGCTGTCACCGGAATTAGGAATGTTGATATTGGTCTTTTCACTACTTTTAATCGGCGCTAAAGAAGACACTACAGTACTTCTATTTACATTCACTTTGCTAGTTGTCCTTATATCACTAGAAACACCGGCGCACGGTTTCAGTCTATTTTCACCATGGCTGGTGCTTCGTGTTGTTGTTGTACTTGTAGCCGTCGGTGCGGGAAGAGATGTTGACGTCGTGGGCGTCGGTGGAGTTTGCGTATGCGACGGGACTGGTGACATGAGAACCGGCGGGTGAGTGGGAAAAGGATACTGAAGACCTTTCGCAGCGGGTATGCTGGTTCCTGAAATAAACCGAATATTAGTTTAGTTTTTTTAGTTTTAAGTGAATTTCTTTTTTACAATAGGGCGTTTATGTAAAAAAATGAGAAGTGTTTTGTCAATGTGAACTATATAAGAAATTCGCTATTACATATAACTTTCTATTATGTGACTCCTCTTCCTTTATTACCAAATAACCTTCGTTCCACTTTTAAATTTTTTTAATTGTCAGTTATATGATTTCTTGAAAAAATAAAAAGGTGGCAAACACCCCATCATATAAGATACATCATAAATGGGTCAATGAAATAAAGGATCTTGGTGTGGTAATATACAGGGTGTCCGGAAAATATGAGTTAAAAATTTTTGGGGTAATTCAACTTACAAGAATAGTTTCTAAAGTTTCTGTTTTTTGTTGTTTCTTGTTTCTGTTCTGTTTTAAAAGCAATCTTGTTAAAGTTTGTATAGTCTTTCCGATCTCAATTGAAGACCAAAGAGCTAAGCAGTATGTACCAGGTTCGGTTGCTACGCAGCAACTCGGCATTGAAATATTTGAAAAACTTGTTCCCATATTTATTTAGCCATACCCATATACAGGTCTGGATGAACTAAACGTGGAGGTGGTAGAAGTGTATACGCCCAGTTGAAGATGCGCACTCGGGCAAACGGCGCACAAACACAATCGTACTGGGCGACCAGCCATAAATTTCAGTTGTTGTCAAATTGCCTAGCAGTGCAGTGCAGTAATATATTTTAATGAAAATGTAAATGTTTTTTGATACTTCACAACCAATTTTTGCCATCAACATAAATAATTAAAATATGTTGTTGGCCAAATGAATATATAATAGAAATTTTCTACACATTATATATAAATTAATATTATTTTTTACTTTTAGCAGAAAACTTTTTTAGGGATGCCTATTAAATTTTATTGCTAGGCGTTTTCATGCATGTTCAACTGACTTCGGAAAAACTATACTATACACTTCATGAAAGCAAAGTAGTTTTTGTCAATAGTTTACATTTTTGTGTTTACCTTAAAACAAAATTATTTATAATGGTATTAGTATTAGTATTAGCAAACCAGAATATCACCTTGTTTGGTGATAAGTATGTGCTTGTAACAATAGAACTTTCCAAGTGCGTGCCCACAATCTAAACAGGTTGTTGGAACAATAAGCGAAATGAACAGCACATTACAATTTCCATGCAGAGAATACATACAATTATTTTATCAGATTAAGCAGTAAAAATTGTTTTTCGATTTATTTACAACTCTAATACCTGCCATTTTGATATGATAAGTGTATGATAAGTGTTGATAATTTTGAATAATTATGTAGGGACAGACCTGAATTTCTGTAAATTAAGAAGTTACAAAATAAGAAACTAAAAAAAAATGTGAAGTTGCTAATTGAAAAAATAAGCCATATTTGTGCACTGACATAAAGATACATGAACCTAGAATATGATAAAAGGGTTATTTGTTGCTACAATAAAAACAAGTGATGTTATACACCTATTTTTATATTCCGTGAATTTTCTGAAATACTTTCTGGTCCCGGACGCCTACAATTTCCGAAAGAAACTATAGGCTGAGTTTTCCCAGTACCACTGAATTAGCGATAAAAAACATACGTTTACTAACCTGTGGATCTAGGGGATAGCATGGTGGGGGTTTTGGGCAGCTGGGTGACGGGTGCGAGTTTCAGCGCTGGCGGCGCCGACAAAGGTGTTGCAGGTACTGAAGTTTGGGCTGTCGTGGCGGCCCTAGGGAACAAATTAAACTCTTTGGGCTCGTACTTCTCCCCTACGTTCTCCAACCTCTTCAGGTCCTCGTCAAACACTGACCGTTTCGCCATCACAGATTTAACGATTTCCGAGGGTTGGACCTCCTTCAAATCTAGATCTAGGAGCTTGTGACGTAATCTGAATTTCTCGAGGTTGGCATCGAGCATGGCCAAAGCATCCCCACCGGCAGCACTGAGGGCCCGCGATCCCGACCATTTCTCGTACTTCTCATCCAAGGATCGAATGCGTTCCTCCAAAGACGGACTTGGTGGTGTTATGTCACTATCGCTGGAATTGGAGCTGAGACTAGGCGGTCTTGGGGGAGGTGATGCCGGTGGGGGCACGTGGACAGGACTAGGAGGCCTCGGATTCGTTATCCTAGGGCTGGTAGCAGCTGCGGGGGGGCTCGAGAGAACGTTGTCTTTCTGGCCTTTAATTCCCGCTACTGACACATTGCCTGAAAGTAATGAGCAAAATTTAAAAATTAATTTGTCTTGGAAATAAAACATTAATTTAGTATGTTGGTACCAGTTTTGCACTCTAAATCGAAGTTTTTCCAAAAAACCTGTTAGCAAATCAAACTCAACCTTTTACATATTAAAAGCCTGAATGTTAACGTTTCAATTTTGTTTGTGTTAATGTTAATAGAAATAGATTGACATATTTGCAATATTTGTAAGGAAGTAACATACATACTCAGAAAATAACTTGTAAAAAGTTAAATTTGAGTTGCAAAAGGTTGAAATTGATTTGTAAATTGGATTTTTAAAGTTGAATGATTTATTTGTAAGAGTGTACACAATTTGTAAATGGTTGAATTTTGATATTCAAGAGGGGAATTTGGGTCTGTAAAATTTGATTGATTTGATTTGATTTATAAATGGTAGAATTTGAAAAGGATGAATTTGATTTGTAAATAGTTGGAATTTAATTTGCAGATGGATAAATTTCATTTGCAATGGATGAATTTGTGAAACACTGAATTTGATTGATAAATGTCTGAATTTAATTTCCAACAAAATTGGTTTGTAAAAGGTTAAATTCGTTTTTTAAAAAGTTGAATTTGATTTGCAAAACAGTGAATTTGATTGTGGTTGAATTGGATTTGCAGTAAAACCTTGGATTTGATTTATAAATGGTAGAATTTGAAAAGGATGAATTTGATTTGCAAATGGATAAATTTCATTTGCAAAGGATGAATTTGTGAAAAACTGAAATTGGTTTGTAAAGGGTTTTTTAAAAAGTTGAATTTGATTTGCAAAACGGTGAATTTGATTATGGTTGAATTTGATTTGCAAATGGATGAACTTGATTTGTAAATAGTTGAATTTGATTTGCTAAAAGGTTAGTGTGATTTATAAAATGAACTTAATTTATAAATAAATAATTTGCAAAAGTGTGGACTGTAAATAATTGATTTTGATTTGCAAAAGGTGAAATTTGATTTAGAAAAGGATGAATTTGATTTGTAAATGGTTGGAATTAGAATTTGAAAAGGATGAATTTGATTTGCAAATGGATAAATTTCATTTGCAAAGGATGAATTTGTGAAAAACTGAAATTGGTTTGTAAAGGGTGAAGATGCGCACACGGGCAAACGGCGCACAAACACAATCGTTTAGTGGTCTCTGTAATTNGCACATTACAATTTCCATGCAGAGAATACATACAATTATTTTATCAGATTAAGCAGTAAAAATTGTTTTTCGATTTATTTACAACTCTAATACCTGCCATTTTGATATGGAGTAGTGTTGATAATTTTGAATAATTATGCAGGGACAGACCTGAATTTCTGTAAATTAAGAAGTTACAAAATAAGAAACTAAAAAAAAATGTGAAGTTGCTAATTGAAAAAATAAGCCATATTTGTGCACTGACATAAAGATACATGAACCTAGAATATGATAAAAGGGTTATTTGTTGCTACAATAAAAACAAGTGATGTTATACACCTATTTTTATATTCCGTGAATTTTCTGAAATACTTTCTGGTCCCGGACGCCTACAATTTCCGAAAGAAACTATAGGCTGAGTTTTCCCAGTACCACTGAATTAGCGATAAAAAACATACGTTTACTAACCTGTGGATCTAGGGGATAGCATGGTGGGGGTTTTGGGCAGCTGGGTGACGGGTGCGAGTTTCAGCGCTGGTGGCGCCGACAAAGGTGTTGCAGGTACTGAAGTTTGGGCTGTCGTGGCGGCCCTAGGGAACAAATTAAACTCTTTGGGCTCGTACTTCTCCCCTACGTTCTCCAACCTCTTCAGGTCCTCGTCAAACACTGACCGTTTCGCCATCACAGATTTAACGATTTCCGAGGGTTGGACCTCCTTCAAATCTAGATCTAGGAGCTTGTGACGTAATCTGAATTTCTCGAGGTTGGCATCGAGCATGGCCAAAGCATCCCCACCGGCAGCACTGAGGGCCCGCGATCCCGACCATTTCTCGTACTTCTCATCCAAGGATCGAATGCGTTCCTCCAAAGACGGACTTGGTGGTGTTATGTCACTATCGCTGGAATTGGAGCTGAGACTAGGCGGTCTTGGGGGAGGTGATGCCGGTGGGGGCACGTGGACAGGACTAGGAGGCCTCGGATTCGTTATCCTAGGGCTGGTAGCCGCTGCGGGGGGGCTCGAGAGAACGTTGTCTTTCTGGCCTTTAATTCCCGCTACTGACACATTGCCTGAAAGTAATGAGCAAAATTTAAAAATTAATTTGTCTTGGAAATAAAACATTAATTTAGTATGTTGGTACCAGTTTTGCACTCTAAATCGAAGTTTTTCCAAAAAACCTGTTAGCAAATCAAACTCAACCTTTTACATATTAAAAGCCTGAATGTTAACGTTTCAATTTTGTTTGTGTTAATGTTAATAGAAATAGATTGACATATTTGCAATATTTGTAAGGAAGTAACATACATACTCAGAAAATAACTTGTAAAAAGTTAAATTTGAGTTGCAAAAGGTTGAAATTGATTTGTAAATTGGATTTTTAAAGTTGAATGATTTATTTGTAAGAGTGTACACAATTTGTAAATGGTTGAATTTTGATATTCAAGAGGGGAATTTGGGTCTGTAAAATTTGATTGATTTGATTTGATTTATAAATGGTAGAATTTGAAAAGGATGAATTTGATTTGTAAATAGTTGGAATTTAATTTGCAGATGGATAAATTTCATTTGCAATGGATGAATTTGTGAAACACTGAATTTGATTGATAAATGTCTGAATTTAATTTCCAACAAAATTGGTTTGTAAAAGGTTAAATTTGTTTTTTAAAAGTTGAATTTGATTTGCAAAAGGATGAACTTGATTTATAAATAGTTGAATTTGATTTGCAAAAACGTGAGTGTGATTTATAAAATGAACTTAATATATAAATAAATAATTTGCAAAAGTGTGGACTGTAAATAATTGATTTTAATTTGCAAAAGATGAAATTTGATTTAGAAAAGGATGAATTTGATTTGAGAAAAGATGAACTTTGTGCAAAATATGTATATTCCATTATTCCATATACTGTAGCAATCCTTCAATAATTGAGGCATACTATTAAAAATTTTCAATGATTTAGATAACACAGTACTTATTTTATTTTATAACTATATTTACCTCTGTTCATAACTTGAGCTGCAAACCGTGGCAGTGGTAAAGTGAGAGGACCTTCTCTTTCCCGGGGCACCCTCCTGGGTTCGCTAGGTTGAAAATTTTCCGGCCTCTCATCGCACAGCGGGGTGCCTGGTCTGGAACCACCCACACTTTCCGAACCGGAATGATCATAATGATGTACCCTAGAGCCACTGTCGCTACCTGCCGTCTTTCTCCGTTTACAAACGGTGTGAGGTAAGTATCCACTTCTATCATGTCCCGTGTCCCTAGTGGAGTGTTTCCCCGAATCAATAGAGGGTCTTCTCGAATGGTGCCTGATATTTGCGTCCGACAGCCTCCTAACCTCCATGACCTTCCTATGATCCCTATTAGCCTCTATGATAACATCGCTAGTAATGGTTGAGTCTAATAATTCTAATTTCAGTCGTTTTTTAGGACTCATTAACTCATCACCAGAACTGGGACATTCCTCGAGTTGCTCCAACAGGTGCACCCTCTCCTTCTGAAGGTTCCTTATATCAGGAGGCGCGAACGGTACAGCTTCGGTCTGTATGGTCCTCGTATCCACGGGATCGACAATATGTGTAGGACTATCGTGAGAAAACACGTAATCAGGCTCATATGGATCTTCATGAGAAGCAGCCGAACCTTGACTGTACTCATCGTAACTGCGGAAATGTCGGTCCGGATATTCTGCCGTGTCGTAGTACTCTGCAAATCGAGCAACGCGTGATCGAGAGCCTGTACCCCTGGGTGTTACTGACCCCGGGGTGCCGGGTGACTGCATTACCGAGGTTACTTGGCTCGCCGTTATGCTGGATCTGCTGCTGTACGACGACGTTCGCGGTCGTGTCGGGGTATCGTATCTGTGACAAAATAAAAGGTTTAATAAAACAAATTTAGGAATTTCAACAGCTATTTATTATACAGGGTGATTCAATCATAATATCATTCTTTGAACCGCGTATTCGAAAGGCATAATAAAGACAGAAAATCGAAAAAAAAATGTTTACTCGACCTTCTAAGAAATAACTAAATTACCCCTATACTTCCGTTAATTTGGCGCCTTAATTTGCATCACATTTGCTGAGTGGGCACCACAGAGCATTCAAACATTGAAGCGAAACAGCTGATTTCCCCCAATTGTCTTGAATTTTGCTACTGGTTTCAAAATCAAAGTGTAATGAATCCCCATTTTATTAACAAAGTGCTATGGACGGACGAGTGAATGTTTTTTTTAGCAGTACTGTCATTTTAAATAGGTAAGTACCATACAAAGCAATAAGTCACACAATAAGGTATATGTACTACAAACTGAATAATTAATTGAATAAAATTCATATTCAATTATAAAACATAGTGAAAACGTTAATGATATTAAAAATACTAAATACTAAAATAATAAAAATACTAACCTAACATTCGAAAACAATTATTACCTTTATACACTTGTTTTTATTAACAATTAAATAATACTTGTTAATATTTAAAATGTAAAAAAATATCTTATTCATTCATGCGTCTATCTAAAAAACTGGGTTAGTGACCGAATACGGTAGGTTAAGATTCACTCTCGATAAATCTTTGTGGGTTAGCGATCAGCAGCGGCCTGAGAAGTGGTTTAAATGATTTGAAATTTTCCTTTTTTCAGTGTAAATATTCATATTAATTTTTTTTTTAAATGTATATTCGTATTCTACTGATTTTTTCCTTTATTCCCTTAAAATTAATGACATTATGACTGGATCACCCTGTATAAAGAAATGTGAAGATACGTTTTCATTTTCAATACAGTTTTTTTGAGAAAATTTTAAAAAACTGTAGAAATCTTTGCAAATTGAATCTTGTGGTATTACCAAGAAAAATTTGCAGGAGTTTCTCTCAGACATATATTGTGAGATATACTGAATATTTCATTAAATACAAATTCTTCCATAGCTCTGGCAAAATTTGGTTAATTGCAAAATTTAATTTCCTTTCAATTTTGTTGTATATTCAAGCTTTTCTTTTTATTGTTCTGGCAGCAATTCACTCTAACAAAGGTCTTACGAGCACCCATCTAAAGAAACTTGTTAAAATAAATTTGCTGCAAATGCATAAGTAAAGGCATCAGCAAGTTGCTTTGGCAAGGAATCTTTCTCAATTTGTTTGCTAGTGTTCACGAGTATCGAAAATAACGATGCATCTATACTGAAAGTAATTTTGAAAATAAATAATATAAATGTAGTAAAAATAATAATCTAATTCACTTCTAATAATGTTACAATGTTATATGTTAATAATAATACTTATTGTATAATATTAACAGTGAAATTAACCGACGGGTATTTGGTTTATTAATCAATTAATATTGTTATTAATGTTGGAAAGAAACATTGTATGCTTACCTCGAAAACCTAGTGGCAGTCGTAGAATCGAAACTTCGTGCCGTGGAGTCCCTCCTCTCTTCGAAAGAGGTCCTGTCTAGCACGGTGCCTTGTTTTTCCAGTCTTTCAAAAAACGACTCCTGGCATTCCCTGCTGGCAAAGTCCACTTGGATCTTTGTGTTCTTCAAGTTGAATCCGCGCATCTTGTTGACCGCCGCCTGCGCGTGTAACACCTGTTCGTAAAATATAAGCGCCTGCCCTTTCTCCCGATCTATATGCACTTTAGTTATAACACCAAACGGTTCGAAGTGCATTCTCAGGTACTTTTCGTTAACGTGCTCGTTAACCCCATCAATCCACACACAATTATACGGCATTGACTTACCGAAACCTAATTTAATTCGATTATTTCCTAAATGCTCACCGTCCATCTTACGTATAGCCTTGACAACACTTACGATATCGGAGTATTGGCAAAACGCATACGAACTCACAGCCGCTTGTTTTTTTATGTCAATTTCAATGATTTCACCGAACTGATCGAAGTGTTTCCTGAGATCTGACGCGGTCACATCCTTCTCTAAATTGCCGATAAACAGTGTCCTTGTGGCTTTCGGGTGGAATTCGTCGATCTCAGCCTCGTAGGGCCGCAAATCATTGTCCTCCACGTCGTAGCCTTGGTAGGGGGCCACCTCGATCTTACATCCAAAAAACTGTTTGTCGTAGCTCACCTCCAGTGCTTTTTCCACGTCTTCCGGCTTCTTGAAGCACACGATCGCGTGGCGCTCCGAGTTCTGGCCCACCACCTTCACCCACGTGACCTTCCCGTGTTTTTTGTACTCGTGGAACAGGCCGTCCTTCAGGCTCGTGTCCGACGACCGTAAGGGGAGGTTTTTCACGCATATCGCAAGCGGCCGCCGGTCGTCCGAATGTACGATCGGTTGGTGGTTGGCGTTGGCAGAAGAGGTTAGTCTCCTGGACTTCGGCGAGCTTGTCGAACTCGTGTCCCGCGACGTGGAGGAACTCGAGGAACTGCTGCTGCTTCGAGACCTGGATCTGTTGCAAAAATAACACAAATTATTCAAAATATGATAACCCTATTCATAACCAAAAATAATTTTTAGAGGTCTCTACAGATATTGTAAAATAAATATAAATAAATAATTAAAACTTGATGATGACTGATGTGACTTGCACTGTTTCTTATAATATACAGGGTGTCCCAGAATATCATATACAACGGAAGACCACAGATTCGTGGACTCAAAATTGGCAGATTTAGACTAATAATTCACCTATATCCGAAATCGCTTTGTTTGGCCGCTAGTGGCTTCAAAGTTTGTGAAAATTTTTTGAATTTTGTAAATAACTCGAATACGTATTATTCGATTTTGATTATTTTTGGAATGTGGACTTTTGCTTTCAATTTACGTAAATTTATTAATTTTTACGAAATTTTGTTTGAAAATTTGTCATAAAAACTAAAAACTAGAAAGTGGACAATGTCAATAAAGAACTGTTAGAAGAACCAGAATAAAACATTGACACTTTTTTTTAGTTATAGAGAACATAAGTACCATAAGGGCCGTAATACATTTAAATATATAAAAGCAAAGGAACATAGTTTTCACCCAAATTTTGTATATTTCATTTTGGAGGCATAAGTTCGAACTAATTTCACAACTAGGTATACTAGTTCAAACAAAAAATTACAACTAAAACATAACTATAACAAATGTAAACGAATTCTGCTTCGTGAATTGCACCAATAGCACAAGCATCACACGTATGAAGCATTCTCCACACAATTTGCACATAAATGTGCTCAGTGCACCCCTTTTTGATCTATTGTGTTATGAGCTACATATATTTTTATTTTAAATAATTTATTAATTAATAGTTGTTCACGACATATTGCTTGTGCTAGTCAGAGCACGTACCTTATATACAGTAGTTGATTCCCGCAATATCATCAGTTAAGATCCTTGTATATGAAGTTGACACCTTTTGCCAGAACATGGTTTGACTTCATTTGATAGGGTTTTTAGGATAATTTATGAATTTATTTGAATTACATAACTTAATATGTTTAAAATAAAGTAAATATACCAGAGGTAATAATATAGATTAAAAGCGTACAGACCACAGCTGTCGCTTCTATGACATGTGCAGAAAGTATACAATAAGCGTCATTGAATGATGAATTTTGTACGATGGGTCTAAAATCGCAGGTTTTAGTCTCCTATATGATAGACATTAAACGCATCTATAACGATATGCCTTGTTTGCAGGTAGCTCCAAACAGGGTGGTTAAAATAGGAATAAATAATCCCCATATATGTTCACTCGTAAGCTATGCCATACAGTTAAAGTGTGTAATGAGTGGATCCCATTACCCCCTTAAAATATAAAAAGACTTATGTATGCATAATCGGTTAGCAAATAAATATTTTATTAACATTAGTACAGTTCCAATATAGATTTACATGATTCATGGCATTGGTTAAATTGATTTACATCATTAGCAATGAAAGAAATTTAAAATTAAGGATTGGAATGATTAACATATACAGGGTGTCCCAGAAATAAGTGCCAAAATTTTAATTAAATATTTAACTCATCAAAAGTAATAAGCTTCATCTACTTAATTCATTTTTTTGGCCCTGTATTTTATATCCATTAAAATAACCTTAACAGAAGGTTGAGAAGGTTAAAGAAATATTTTATACAATGATTCAGTATTCTCAATTTTTTTTATTAAAATAGGTACTAACACTAATTTGTTCCTATTTTTTTGCATTTTGTTTACTATTAACTTAACAAAAGCATATCGACTTATGCTCAAATGGCTGGTAATAAAAAATTTAAAATTAAAAAAAAAATTAATTGCTTTTGATCAGTGGCTAAAATCTTCGCACTTATACACTCTGTATATACACAAATCAAACTTATTATAATATTGAAAATAGTTTGGTTAAAAAACAATTTCCTTCTGCATCAGTTGATATATTAAATCTATCTGTTAAATTTAAATCTTGAAATAAAACCACAACTCTAATTGACATTTTTCGACCTTCAAAAAAATGTATCTGCCACTTCTTTTAGATGCTGAGATATGAATAGCCACATAAGTACCTAAGTAAATTACGAATAAATAATTTAGTAATAGAGACCTCCTAAAGTGGCTTTGTAAACAGTCCAAGTTCAATTTGGTTATGGTACAAGGACGAAATAATAATAACAGGAAGACTTACATTAAGTGACATAAGTGTAAAATCAATAATGATAGTAACAAGCTTAAAAACTCGCAGCAATTTACTATTTACTTAATTTATAGCGCATACCATTAGCAAAGTATCGAGAAATTTTTTGTTTACCAACAAATTGAGAAAAAAACAAAAATTACACCAGCCGAGAATATTGTAACCCAGAAACCATTTTTCCGAAGGTTTTAACGCGCTGAGTTCGAATTCTAACCTAAAAGCAAGTTATATCTAAAGTTATGTAACGAGGTAACTTCCCCTCATAAAACTCATTATGACATCTGAAAGTACTACTCTTCTCTTTGAATTCATTTGAAGACTTTTTCCTCTACGAGAAATGGTCTGCTCAAATTGATTAGTTTGGCTGGCTTATTCGTCGATGTTCGGAAACTGAGTAGCATCAGGTGATGACTCAAAAAGAGAGAAAATCAAATTACAAATAACTAAATGGTTTTCAAGTTTTCAGGATCACCGATTACGAATCTGAGGTTAGAATTACAACATTCAAAATGGAGGATCCAATATGGCGGATGGATATGGATAAAAAATGTCGGAATTGAAAAAAACATTGTCGAATACTACACAAAATTTGTGAAATAAAAGATGGATATAAATTTTATTCACTAATGCAATGTTTTTGAAAAGGTTTTCAAATTCCGATCACTATAATAGGTATTCTTGGGGACCGCCTAGCCGGTCTTGGCCGATGGATTTCGATCGGCCGAAGTAAGCATCACGGACACAGGCTGGAACTTGGATGGGTGTAACCAAATGTAGCATTACTCTTTCGAAATTCAATATGGTGGGAAAAAATCACCTAGTGATTTAACATAACCTCAAATATAGCGAAACAATAGTGTTTTTGGCATTGTTAGGTTCGGATATCTCTAAAACCTGATGTGATAGAGCAACTCTTAGGCCACATTCGGATCCAGCGTGTCAACAATATTCGGGAAAGTATAGTTTGGCTTAGGACAGTCAGTCACACTTTTGTCAGCCTGTGTTATTGGAAAACAACTTAAGAATGTTAAAATATAAAAACATTCTCATGTTGCTGTAAAAGGTATATTTCTTTCAGTATCACACAATTCAAGTGAACTCTACCGATTTTTTCTCAAAAGACATACCCTTTTGCGTAACGCACCGTCACTTTACTCATTTAAAACGACAGACCCTACGCGTATACGAAGGGAACCAGTTTTATATACCTACCTAGATGGTGACCGACTGCTGGTGCTCCCCGACGGTGAAGGCGACCTCGATCCCGATCTCGATTTCGTCTTTTTCTTCGAGCTTTGATCCGAACTTCGCCTCTCGTTGCTATCAGATGGTGTAGTGCTATACCCTGTATCCGTCTGACTGCACCCTGTGGTGCTGTTGTACCTGCAACAAAAACATCAAATGAAATAGTATTGCAACTAAGTTACAGACAATGTAACATTTTTGCAGCTGAATGTACCTTTTAATTTAAATGCATTGTACACATGAAACGGTCTCAATTTTTTTCTGATATTAAACGTTGGATCTTCATACTTTCCTACGAATAAAAGCGACATCGCTAGCAACACCTGTTTTCGAGAAACATGCGCTGCTTGCGGATCGTCCACATCATTCCCGTAGACCGAATTTGGTCCAAATATCTATTATGTTTCAAAATTTATTAAGGAAAACCGATTTTTTTTTTATCTTTGACTGTATGTTATTAACTTTTACATTAAAATAAATTAGGTTACAGATAAGTCAATTTCATCTCCAGGAACCTGTAATTACAGTATAAACCATAATATACAAAACACCCTGTATAGTTATTTCACTCGAAATGAATACAGACTATAATTTCCTTCACAAAGGAGATTGAGATATTATTTTTACTAAATTCTAATTCTAATCTCTGGCAATTTGTTTTTCGTACTGGTAACATTTGATTGAGACACACTATAGGGCCAATTAGTGCACAAATACGACCTTTAAATGAGAGTCAATATTTTTCTCTATTTCCCTTGTGAAAGAATTTACGGTTCTGTATTTGTTTGAAGGGAAACACACTGTATAAGAAACATCTAAATAGAAAAAACCCACACAAGACCGTCGACCCAAAAATGTAAAATTTTATACATTACACGCATTTGAAAACAAATATGTATAATGTTCTGCAGTGGATAATACACCATTTCTCAGAGAATCATGCTATTAATATCAAGATGAGTCTCTTTGCAGAAGAAAAAGGATCAAGGGTAGGTTAGGGCGAAATTGTCACATAATCCATCACTTGTAGTCACATTATACGAAAAACGGTACAGATATTTAAGACTGTATTATGTTAGATATATGTAATTTATTATTTATTAATTTATTTATCGAACTCTGGCTAATTTATGGTAATTATCCAGAGTTCGATAGCTGCTAATGAATGATTTGATTGATTTGAATGCTCTACTGGATAAAGAAATTTAATATCTACTAACTCTAAAACATATGTTACGTTTCCATTTTATTTATATAACAATTACTTTATCTGTAGCTCTGTGGGTATCACAAACGAAAATTCAAAGATCACGCCTTTAAATCAAAATAAAATTATCTGTTCAAAACTATCAAATCCTTCAATAAAATTTTTATCGAAAGTCAACGTTACCTCGCTACTTTTTAGAACAGCTACATTTTTAAATAAACATTAAGTGTCAGCTGTGAAATGATCACCTGATAGCTTACCTTTACAGATGGCCTTTATATTAATTCATAAATTTATGGTTTTGTCAATGACCCGAACGTCTACTTAAAATTCGTTTGTCGTCATATGTGCCAATGTTGAAAATTTCCTAATACTATATTTTATTACCTATTCCTATACGTATTTCATTATTTAATCTTTATACTGAAAGAAGTAATTTCTTGAATAAAAAAAAATATCGAGATTGTTTTAATTCCACTAAATGTAATAGCCAATAGTTTGCGTTACAGATTTCAATGTCGAACTTTAATGGATAACTAACCGTAAATCACCACTAAACTAAACCTAAACCTAAAAGTAATTTGCAGTAATAAAATTGTAAAAAAATTAAATTACCTACATTTAAAAATACTATTTATTTAGTAGGTATCTATCATAGGTAGGTATCTTTTCATTTTTTGAAAATCTTATTTCTAAAAATTTAAAATCCAAAGATCCAGTTTTGAATTTTATTGTTGTGTGCTCCAATTCTGTTTTACACAAAAGAAATTATATGCCGACACTTACAATTTATTGTTAAGTAAATTATTATTATACTACTCGATATGTCATAGAGTACTGTTTAAGGATATGTCAGGGACAGATTCGGAAAGTGATGAACCGTTTTGAGAATTAAAAAGGACATCCCTAATTACATACCGCAGTCTTAAAACATTAATCAAATTTTATCAGAAAGGCGCAGGCTGTTTCTTTCTAACTTTAAAGGCAGTGGCGTAACCAAATTGAAAATATTTTCAAATATAATTGCTGAGAATAGTAGATACATTTAACCAAACACTAATTTAAAATTTTTTGTACAAAATAAGTTCTAGTTAAAACAGTGAGAAAAAAGTTGACATATAATCTTGTTTTTATACGAGTATATATTTTTAATTCGTATTAAATAAGCTGTACTGTACTGTAGAAAAGATAGACATCCAGAAACATTTAATACCGTTGTACTCATTTACGTTGTTGTACGTTAGTAACTACCAAAACTAATTATACACGAGCGTTCAGTGCTAGTCTTTAATCTGAAATTATATTTATTGTCTTTTCCTTGGATTTTTTCATTACATGGTCATCTGATTTGCCATAGGAAAAACAAACTCACATATATGTAATATACTCTAACTAATTTTGGAACAAACAAGGAAGTGTTGTCTTCGAGAAAAATTAAATTATACCTAATTAAAGATATTCTATTATGCGCTTAAGTACTCAGTTGGAAGTGCCAACAACGGCCGATAGTAATGGCTAATCGCTTAAGTATTTAAATATGCAATACAATGGATTTAATTACAGCGAAACTCAAACAAATATTTCTTGATAAGCTAAACATTTTTATGTCTGTCGGAATAATAGAATCGATTATGTATTTGTCTTTACAGTTGCTTGAAAAATCATTTGTATGTGCAAATCTCACAAATTACGTCTATTGAACAAAAAAAAAAACGATAGAGGACAGATTAGATGTTTTCTAGTTACAGGGCGATATTAATTTTTGTGAGGTTTTAAACTATTTGCGTAACTCCGCTATTAGAAAAGTTAGAATTAAAGCATAATCCCAGTTATTTGAATTGATTGATAACATTAATTTGTGTATGTGTATCACATATTTATAGTAAGTATCAATGATGCAAACGTATTTTTTTTTAATGGGAACCGTATTTCGTATTTGGCTTTGGTTTTGAAAGATAGAACATTTTTTGCTCTGTTATGATATTAGATAGATATGTATAATAAAATAGTTGATCATTTTACTTTTTTTTACATAGGCCATCACAGGAATTTACAGTGACAGAATAGAATGTCTTTATTCAATTACTATGCAAACGTAAATTGGTATCATGGCCATATATTTCTATAAAAAGTATATTTTTAAAAACATATACCACATTTTTACATAAAAAACTATAATTATGCAAAAAATAAATAATTATTATTGAATGTATTCGGCAATCTCTGAAATTCTAAATAACAGATACAATAAGAAACTAACATTTCTAAATTAAACTACCAAATGCAGCATTTTCGATTACATTTAATCGAACTAAAGTTGTGAAAACTTTATAACACCCTGTAACTAAATTTCGCATATCAGCTTGGATTCCTTTAGTCAAATGCCGTCGTAACACACCCTATATAATCGTAAGTCTGTGGATATGTAAGCCTAAGAAAGAGGAAATAGTTTACATCTTTTATTAAAATTAATTTACAGGTATACGAGTATAATAAAAAAATATATTTTATTAGGATTAAAATTGTTTGAATTTAAACTAAATTAATATTTATAAAAGGCAATAAATATTTAAGGTCACCTTTCTACTCAAAATGTATCTGTCTTTACACTGCAAACACCAGCTCGTCTTGTAGAAACTTGTAAAGAAAAACTTACGATAGTCAGCTGGCATCCACTTCATGTTATAGTTCGTTTATTGCTTGGTAATTTGTAAACACGTATGCGTAAATAGTAAATATTCGTAAATTATTCATAGAATTCATATTGGAAGTACCGACTGTTTGTAATCAGTGAATAACGATCATCGTCTATTTATGTAATTACAAATACTGAGTACTGATTACTCCTGAATACTCCTTATTCATAAATAAAAAATTAATTAATATTTATATTCATCCTTTGTATTGTAACATTGACGGGAACTTCTCCAAAATTTAAATAGGTCTTCGGCGAAAATAAAACAGGTTTATTGTCACTCGATGCAACAATTCAAAATAACAAACTTCAACGACAAGTGTCAACAACAGTAATTATTTTCATCTACTTCGACGTCTCAAGCTTTCACTTTGCTTTCTCAAAGCAGACTATCCCCGCAAACGAAAATGCCCGCTTTATATATACCTACTTTTTCCTATGTTCTAGAAATTTCTCGACCTTCGAAATGTATCTCGAACCAAATCGAATGTAGTCTGGAATATTCCAGATAACCTCAAAATAAAGGTATTAAAAATACTGATAAATTAACAAATAATCAAGAACTGACATAAAAAATCACAAGGTAGATGAGACAGTATTATTCGAAAACGGCATTATTCTGTAAAAAACATCGTGTATTTTTCATATTTGTAGAAATAACTATATATGACATTATGTATTATTGGAAAATAAAAAAAAATCTTCTCCCTTTAAAAAATATGCGTAACATTCATAGATTCGTAAACCAAACAATTTATTAAAAACCTAATATCACCAGTCGATTCTACACAGAAAACTTTAGGCAAGGCAGTTTTTACTTTTTCAGTCCAACTCATTCAGCAGTAGAGATATAGGCGTGATTGACTATGTAAAAAAATCATCATGTAAAGTGTTAAATAATGTTTAATATAATTCTATAATCACTTTTAGCAGATACTAATCACGTAGCAGCTACTTCAAAGATGATAGAATTACATTAAAATTAATAAATGTTTTTGAATGATTACATTATTTAATCATTTCAATAAATCAGAGATTTTTACATAAATTATATTTAGTCAGTTCTGGTTTTTATTTTTGATAATTATTTATTACTGGCTGTTTGCCCACACTAAAGTCACACGAATGCGAATTCGCTCCGGTCGGACTTTTCATACTCTCTAATTTGGCCGACAATAACTGAGGCCAACTGTGGAACGGCTCGACTGTTTGGGCTATAGAAGGAATTACCGTGGTGGGGGAAACTCTCGGCAACTGCTACCTAAGAAATGCCAGCTGTTCAAAAAATCGGTGGTGCGAATTCGCACTAGTGTGTCCTATAAGGTTTAACACAGGATAAAAAATACGAAAGCCTTAGTAGAATATGTTTTTTAAAAACGGAGCTATACCTCAGTGAAAAATTTTTTTCGAAAAGTTGCTTCAAGTCGAAGGGAAATGAGTTTTTCCCTTGTATGAACCTTTAAGTAGTCCATATATGAGTTTTTTTCCCCAAGAGAAAAATATATTGTGAAAGAAGCCAGACTTTTTTTTAGATGTCGGTATATTGTGACAAATGCAAACAACTCTCTTCTTTTTCTTAATGTAAGATGTAAACTTTAACTTATACACAGAATACCCCTCAACAAGTTTTATAGGTTATCATAATAACAACGAACCTCACTGACATGGAATGGACAACACAAACAGTAGGTAGTGGTTTAATTATATCTAACAACAACTACCGCCACCGTAGTAGTTCATGTAATCAATAATGGCTACGTTGCCAAATGTTTTTAAAGGGTCTATAATATACAGGGTGTAACTTTGAGGGGGGGGGGGCATATTTATGCAGAGGCTTCCTTTGATCTTTAGAAAGACGTATCAATAGTTTATTTTTTCAAATTCCGTCGTAAAAACTTAATTTTTTTTTAAACTTGTTTTAGTAATTTTCGTACCCCGCCGCTGAAGAAGTTAGTAACCTCAAATAACGGCGCGCTTTAGTTGCAGCGCATGCATAATTCACACAATTCGGCGCGAATTACTTTTGTTGAGCAGGTGTTTGTCACACAAACAGTATTTAACAAGTAATAACCTGGTAAAAAACTCAAACAATAACTAATAATGATAAATGAAATACACAAAAATAAATAGTCTATTGATGGCTTCCAGAGATGAAAAACAGTCAAATTCACAGTCAGATGTACTGTCTCCAAATATGGAACAACAACTGACGCGCTTGGCTTCAGTTGGCTTCGCCACAGATGACCCGCACTATCTCCCTTCACGTGCACTGTAGACTGCCTACAATTCATGTGTTTGTAATATGTACATAAATAACCCCCACTTAAAGTTACACTCTGTATGCTTACATAATAGTGTTAAAATCATAACTTTTAAGAGGCTTCTACATTTAAACTACAAAATTGACCTTTTAGTAAAATATTTCCCGTGTATTTCGTCATTTGTTGAAAGAAGAACGTAAGAACAACAGACAGACACTTACCTCGTTGAATCGTACGACCACGAGCTGTTGAGTGTTCTAGAGTGGCGGTCCATGAGGGAGTTATAGGGGCCGTTACGGTAGGATCTGTCGCGGGTTCGACTCCTGCTTGTGTCGTGGTAGCCCGTTCGGCGGATGAATTCCCCCTCGGGGGCCACCCTGGTCGTCGATCTGTCGTAGAAGCGCTCCTGGAAAGATCCATGCTCGTCGGAGGACCTGCAACAAAATTCCATACATAATATTTTACATCCCATCCAGGGCGACAATTTTAAAAGTTTCAATGGTTGTATTTTTCGGTCCCGGTGGCCTGAACTAAAAACTGAATGGTGTGGTGTACATGTATAGGTTACTAGAATGGGAATTGTAAATTGTTTATATATAAATAAATACACCTTTTGGGCACAGATTTGTATTTATACAGCTATAAATTAATTATCAAGGAACGAATATTTATCATCTGGAGTAACCCTCAGTATATTCATGATCCCGAGAAACAAATTTAATAGCCAGCTGAACCATAGAACTTCTACTATAAGCTGGATTGAAGTTTAAGGCAGAATAGCGGTGTTTGAAGTTGCAGGCGTGTCAACACAGGATAGCTGAAGTACAGTCGACTGAAAACTTTTTGAGAAGGTTGGTGGGTAATTCAGTTATAATGTCATTAATATTATCCACGTATTGGGAAGGCCTAATAAAAACAGAAAGTCAAAAAAAAATTTACTCGATCTTTTAAAGAATAAGCAAATAAATTTGGCGGCTTCGGACCTTAGAGCGTACGAACGTTGAAGCGAAACAGCTGATTTCCCCAGCTGTCTTGAATCTTGTAATTGGTTTCAAAGACAAAGTGCAAAGGATCCCAGTTTCATTAACAAAGTGGTATAGACGAATGAGTGAGTATTCTTTTTAGCAGTACATACTGTCATTTTAAATAAATAGGTATCATACTTTGAAAAACAATAAGTCACACAATAACGTATACGTACTACAAACTGAATAATTAGTTGAACATAATATTAAAAACTCATATTCCATTATAAAACAGTGAAAAGTTAACAAATATTAAAAGGTAGGTGAATTAATATTACGGTAGATCAAGATTCACTCTACAATGATTTCAAAATACTCTTTTTCAGCGTAAATATGCATTTAAATTTTTTTTAATCGAGTATTAGTTTTCTACTTATTTTTCCCTATTTTCCCTTAAAATTAATGTCATTATGACTGAATTGCCCTGTATATGTATACCGCAGTTCTTTATTAAAGACATCAATCAGTTGATTGCAATAAATTTAATATGATTTCAATTACTTATATAGTATATTAACATCATTAGCGATAATCTTCAAATTCCTTCTTTTACTAAATTACCACTTTTTCGATTAATGGTCCTGAAATTTGGTTTAAACGAGTAGAAACGTACTTAATTTTCCATAACAAAAATTAATATAGAATGGAAAAAGTCCTCCAAATTATTATTTCCTAATTATCTCAAAGAAAAGAGAATGAAAGATTTACACCTAATGAAGAACGTTTAGAAAAGTTATCAGATTCTGAAATCGGAAATAGAAAACCCTCAAAAGATATTTCAGAGATATGGATTTAGATAGTGACATTAGGTGATACTAATTTAATGAACTACTACTAGAAATTTGGGAAAAATATATTCCAAAAACAATTTTAACAATAATAATAATAATAATAAATGATTTTATTTGCAATTGCATACAATAATTTAACACAATGTTTACAAACAAAAAGAAAAAAAAAAGAGACAATACAAATTGCAAAATGGCAGAGTACAGGTTAAACCTGTTCTTCCACTCAACCAAAATAATATTTATAATCAAATTTCTCTAGAAGGTATTAATATACAAGAGACAAAACGATGATTTGATACATCATTAAATTGCCTGCCTAGCCATTGAAACTTTTAAAAGTGTCATCGATTATATATAGGATGTTAAAAAATAGTGTAACAAACTTCTGAAGCTGATAGTAGATACTAATAAAATAAAACATACCTAGAATATATATGTTTTAAGAAAGCTAATGATATGAGGACAGTTTAATATAGATATCCCTTTCTTTAATACTTAACCTAACCATTTAGTAATATATTTTTCCTACAGTTCATACCTATTAGAGCTGTAACTGAAAAGGCCCTTTCATTGTTTTTATTTAAAATTAGGTACTCAATTTGTATATTTTTTGATACCTACTACTTCAATGTAATTTTGAGTTTATACAAAAACCATTTAAATTTATTTGATATTATTTCTGAGGAATGAAATTGTTTTCTTTTATTTACCTTTTTTAGATTTTTGCTTTAAATCACGAAATTTAGTATAAACACTTGAACGACATTCATGGAAATTTCAAAGTAGTTTTGATTCGACTCATTGTTCCCTTAAATACGAAAATAAGTTGACAAACTTATCATCTAACAACCGTTTGTAGAAAAAAATTGTTTCACATCACTGTAGTTTATAGAATCAAAATTTTATGTTAATTTAGATGTAATTTTCTTATGAAAAGTTTCCAAATCGTTTTTTTTTATAGTGACAACCTGCTTTAAGAATTTCAATCACCATTATAATCTTAATCAGAGAGAATGGTACAATTTCAAAAATACTTCAGTATAAATTCTAGTCTAGAGCAAAACCAGTAAATAATCGAACATAGGTATTATTTTTTATATGTATTCTTGCTTTCACTACCTTTAGTCGGAACTTTGTGTTAAATTAACTTTTGAAGGTGAACAATATTAATATTTGCAAAATGACTACGGGGCAGATATTCAAATTTTTAAAAATGTATTAAGTAGGTAAGATGTTTAAGGTATGTACTTTTTTGACGAAACAGTTTTAAGGAGCGTTTAAATTTAATTTAATTGGTGACGTCACTAATGCAAAATAGGAATTGCTTCAAACAACTAAGCTACAATTTTAATGCTTTAACAATTTATGAATTTCTCTTTTTAATCAGTCAATTTGGTTTAGAGTTAATAAATAATGTTTTGAAATCTGTATTTTCCGATATCTGACATTATTAAAATCAATTCTAAGTTATTAGAACCCACAGAATAATGTCGATGATAAGACACATACAATAAGTATACAAAATAATAATAATAAATTAAGAAAATATTTTTAATTCTACAGTCTGCTATACCGAATGATTCTTAAGAATATTTCAAGACAGACTTATCGAATTCCATATCATAAATTGAACAAGAAAATATAGGTACCTAATGCTTTAAAACAGTTTGAAAATGTTTCTCAAAAAAAATTGCATTTAGTACTGTAAATAACAAATGAAGAAGTTATTTGATATAATTTTTTCAGTAAAAGCTTCGACTTTTGAACTAAAACACTGAATATTTTATTACATATACGATGAAAACCAATTTCTTTTCAACTAAAATTACTTACTCTTTCCTTGACATTATAAGAAATATATCTCCAGGCATAAAAACAAGAAAATCAACAATTAGCACTAAAACTATATATTTTACAACACACATTAAACACCAAAAATTTCAAACTTCAACAAATATACGAAAATTTTCACTGTGTCCACACAATATATCACTTTTTACTGTCGCAGTCATCTATATATTTTTGTAAAAAAATATAGATCTGTTCAATTAAAAACAAATAAAAAGAACGAATACGAATCTTTTAAAAATTCCGCGAATTTATTTTTGGATTGTAGAAAAGGTTCAAATGGTTTGAAAACTAATATAGAACATTGAACCCCAAAAGTTATGATTTCAAATATACTGTACTTAAACACGGACTGATAGAATTTACAAGACAAAACGTGTCTACCACCTACCTGTAGAGAAGTGATACTGAGAAAGCTTAGACGAATACCCACGAAAACTACCGGAAATCCTCGATTCTTGAAATCCCTTTTGTAATATCCTAAGGGTGGGTATAAAATATAAGGCTTAAAGTTCTTAAATGCCAAACAAAAAGGTGCTTTATAAACAATCTCGGACTATTAGATTTATGACTATATATCCAAATATTACATTATTCTAGTATGAGAAAGACTGGACAAATTGGACTGGAAATTGATAAATAGAAAAAAATAATAAATTTTAAAATAATTTAATAAGTTATGAAAAAATTTGTGCAAAAAAATGTTATCTGCAAAATATTTTTATACATTTACATAAAATGCATGCTACATATTAGTTTTATGAACTCATTTCCGGGCAGCAAGTGTCACTTTTTAGGTGACAGGTGCCCAGCGTCCGTGAAGCAATTGAATCTGGAAGTATTTGCGTCCGTAAAATAATGTGAGATCTAACTTTAATAATTGTAATTTGTGAGAGGTTGCGCAATGAAATTTTTCTGGCATCAGTAAAGACAAATATCCAGTCGATTCCATGACTCCGGTAGACACACAATTCTGGCTTATAATTTGTCAACAGAGATATTTAAATTATTGGTTGCTGAAGATTCAAAAAAGAAAAAAATACGAGTTTATGTACACATATAGTAACAAGAAAAATAAATGCATCGTTGTACAACTTTTGTAATTTAACCAACTTTATATTTCTTACCATCTCCAGGACTTCCATGGTGTATCCTCAAAGGAAGGGTTTATATGCGCAACTTTTTTTATCCAGCATTTTAGAAAATCTAAGCAAGTTAGGAACAATATCTCTTCACTGTACCAGTTATATAAGTTTTCTTCAGGGTATAAGACATCTGACAATACATTCAAAATAAGAACAAATAACATATTTTTACCTCATATGTTTATCTTACGTTTCCTGAATTTTGCATTTCTGTTGAACGTACAGAAAATCGCGTACGGTATTATAAACATAACCACACCCTGTAGAATGCTTTTAGGAAACTATTAACACTGCATTCATCACAATTATTGGGTATCTTTACAGATTTGCTGGGCAAAACAAGAAAGGAACATTTTCTGATGTTTACATATTCTCCGTGATCTTTCAACACGAAAAATTAAAGGAAGTTGCTCTAGTTTAGCGTTACACTTCGCCATTTCTTGGATGGATCTACTTGTGTTACTAAAAGTGCTAATTCTCGTCTATAAAACACCAACCTTAAGTGAATTAATAAAAATATTTTTATTCAAGACATTCCAGAAAAGTTGACCGTCTTGAAATTTTCTACACTATATACAAAACTGTTTTAACTAATGTTTTTATTTGGCACACATCTTTATTTATA